CAGTCACTAGCCACACACATTCAATGGGAGAAAAGTAGGTCCCATGTCTTGATGAGAGGAGTGTCAATGTCACATTGCAAGATGAGCCTGTGGAATGAAGATCTTGTTGCAGCCATCTTAGAATACTCAATCTGTCATATTTTGGGTCCCCCCTGGCATGCACATTAGTTTCTCTGGTTCTGACCAGTTCCCAATGATCGGCAAGCCAAACAGCACTTTTCATCTTAGAGCTATCATCCATCTGGCCCTCTCAGCTTGCAGATTCCCCTTGGCACCAAAATGTACATTCCAGTACTGGTGCTGCCAGCTACCCAGACTTCTACCTCCACCCCTGACTGCTCACCATTCCTCCTCCCTCCTCTCTTGCCCATTCCAAAACGTATAAGGACACCGCAGCTGACGACACTGGCCATATACTCTTGAAAATACTCTACCTTTACAAACCTGCCCCAAGGAATACAAATAGGCAGATATGAAATACTGTGGTAACAAACATGCTTAATTAAATTGTACAACTGTCCAAAGACTGTGCATTCTTGATGTTGGCTTGTGTCATTATTATACAGTAGGCAATAAAAGTTCTCAATGTCAGTATCCTGGGAGACTTCTTACTTTTAAGTACCAGGTAGAAAAAAAAAATCATTCTGTACAAAACATTCATGTCACCAGAAACGTTGTGGCACCCTCTGCTGTCAGGAAACAAAGTTTAAGGTACTCTGGGTTCATTTTCCCTGCAGGATTCTCCAGCATCCTCATACCATATGCTGCCAGTCATCTTATCCAGATGGAAAAGCATAAATCAGAAAGCGGAGGAAAACCATGGGGCTTAATTTGGGCAAGATAGTAAAGGTAAAGAATGAAAATCCAATCAGCGTATGTAGCTGAATGGTAATAAGCAGGAAAGGGAAAAGGGAGCCAGGTATAAAATCTCAAGAGGTAGCAGATATCAAAGACATCATAATATAGCAATCTCTGTCTAAACTCTTTATGTAAGTAAGGTTAATCTCCACAAATAACCCATGAAACACAGAAAGGTTAAACAAGTTGCTCAGGGTCACATAGCAAGTAAATGGCAGAGCCGGGATACAAATCCCAGCCTTCTGTCTCCATAGTCTGTGTCCTTAACCACTCTGCTCTACTGCCTAAGAAATAAATATGACTACTGGGGGTAGGGGGTATGGGGACAGTTACTCCTTTAAATGTAACAAGAATTATTATTAGATATTATTGCTCTTATCTAAAAGAAAACTGTCAGGAAAATTACTTGCCCCAAGCTAAGCAGAGAAATTAGGAAGTAATCCAAGTCCCCCATGCACAATAAAACCATTCTGAAGTTTAGAAGATTCTTTCCCTCCTAAATTTAGCAACAATTTTGTTCTTTTGAGAAATCAAAATGTATTACAATGACCCCAAAAGTACTGTCTCTCATCACAACCTCACTAAAATCCATCATCTGCTTTTGCAAAGAGAATGGATTCCCCCTATAACAAGTTCAAGGTCTACACAACCAGGCTGATTCATCCACCAACCAACCAATCAGCTGAGCAGGGTCACTCGGAGAGTTCCAAATCAAAGACTGGTTCACTTGCCAAGGGAGAGCAGAAAAATACCTTTCCTCATAAAGGACAAGGCAACCAGTTCCCGTCCTCCTCAGTGGAAAAATGAGTCTAACGGGTCTGGGGCAGAGTCAGAGGGATGTCCAAGGGGTTAGAGAGCTCTGGGCTGCAGGCTGAATGGAAAGGACCACATTCCTGGTGCTAGAAGAACCTCATGGCTGTGAGGCCCTCTAGGCAGAGCAAGGAGCAAGGCCCAATCCACTTGAGGCCATTTGTCCCTGGGCAGACTCCCAAGCCCTCCGCAGCCAGAACTCAGGTGATAACGGTAGGGCCCAGACTCAGTTCCAGTCACTGGAGACTTGGGGATATTGCTACAGTTCACTGGGAGCACATGCTGGAGATCACCTCAATACTGCACACAAGAAGGATATGAGCCTTGATGTCTACTGAGGGCCCAGTACACACACGCACTATTTTTAGTGCTTTAGACTTTATCTTATTTAAACCTCACCACACAAACCCTATGAGGCTGTCACTACCACCCTTATTTCACAAAGAATAATATGTCTGGGAAGTTAAGAACTGACCAAGGTCACATGCCAGTATGTGTTAGATTAGATTGACAGAATCTGAACTTCTGTCTCTCTGCTTTCGAAGTCCAAGCCATTTCTATTATATCAGGCTGCTCACAACAACATACAATTCATGACACTGGGCAACTCAGAGTTGTTTCTGGCCCTTCCCCCCAAATTTTAGACTAGCCTAAGAGCCCAAATGTTTGGATATACAAATACACCTAGGTTGCAATGCTTGCTATGACATTGGGAAGTACAGCTTAGACAAGATACTTCTTCTATTTACTCCTCCATGTTTCCCATCTTTCTCCCATATTCCTCATGTCTCCCTTCTCCCAACCTAGATCATCTCTCTTGGTCTATATGTCTTGGGTTGGTGTTTATCAAAGGGGACAACACTATTTATTCCGGCCTCCAATGCATGTGCATTATACAGAGCCTCAGAGGAGATAATGGTGCAGAAAATAACACGAAACTTGCCCTTTGCAGGGCTTCACAGAAAGCTTGGGCAAGTAAATTGAAGTTTGCTGGGCTTCAGTTTGATCAAGCAAAACCAGAGTGGGCTGCACTATATGGTCTTCCAGGTCTAAAGTCTATGATTCCATTATTTTTTTAAAAATCTGTTAATCTTCACAATGAAATAGCTGCAAAGAAATACATCAACTCACAAAGAAAAAGGTCAAAAGGAGATAGATTAATTCTGACAAATACTGCTCTTTGCCTAGAATATCAACATGATTTAATTTTTTTGAAAAGTGCCCAGACTTACTCCAGCCAGCACTGCTTCACCCTCAAGATGACAGACTGGCTTTGCCTGGTGTCACAGCCCACCATCCCTGGAGGTCAGGCCAAATTTAGAGTCCATAACAGGAAGAGGTTATTTATTTCATCCTCTACAAGTTTCATTTGGCCCACAGGGTCTGACCAGATTCAGATTACCTTCCATCCAGTGGATGCCAGGACAACAGGGCTTCTCCATATTCTTTCCTCAGGTAATCAATCCTGCCCTCTTTGGAAGTATTAAGAAAGCCTCCATCCTTCTCCCCATGGCTTCCCCATTCACCCTACCCCATCAGAGGGAGTTACCTGATAGTAGTGAGATTTGGGAGTCATTGCACATGCATGGTGAGATTTGGGAAAAGCCATTGCACGTGCGTGGTCTAAGCCCTTTCTTGGCTCTAGCCTTGCCCCCAGCAGCTGCAGTGTTTAGGACTCACTGGTCCCCTCCTCAGGGCAGAGACCCCCCTATGGAGTAAAGCCTGCCATCAGTGACTGTGTAGGTAAATTCAACTTAGAATAAGGAAGAGAAAACTCAATTTGGCCTTGGTTCCAAGCCTCAATCTCCTTTCCAGCTTTAGCAGCAATATCTCACTCCCATATTTACTTTCCAATTGATTCAGAACTCTGGAGGCATGTAACTAATACTTCAAGGGAATACTTTAAGAGAAGGCACAGATCATATTAAGTTCAATATCAGGCAATGTACAATTTGCTCTAAAGGAAATTAGAATTCAACAAGGAGATTAAAGTATAAATAATCTAAGCAATGCAGACTGGAACAAATGCCAATCAGAGATTTCAAGTAAATGCTGTTGTGATGCCCAGGGGGAGGTGGTGAGAAGGGGGCGGGGGACAACAGTGCAGGGCAATTGTGGATGGGTGTCCAAAAGAAATCTTCTTGATATTGTGACCAGACTGGGGGAGAATGTCCAGAACTGTCTTTTCCTTTCAAGGTTCTCCAGGCTCAGGCAGGCTCAGTTCCTCAGGGTCCCCAGCACGTAAGAGGATGGGGAGCAATGGCTGAAATCACAGCAGCCCCTAAAGAGGCTAAAGGAATGTTTATCCTACTTAGATCATTCTGAATTCTGACTCTAGAAAAATAGAATATGCAACATGGTAATAAGGACAGAGTGAAAACGGGACAGAATAGTTGAAAGCAGGTGGGTGATTAAGGGAAGTTTTGACTCCAATTTGAGTATCATATTGTTTGCCTCTGGGGGAGCAGGGGGAGTGAAACCAGCCTGATGCTTTGATCCTGATCAGAGGTTTACAAGAGTAGATATTTGACATGCCTAAGCAACAAAATCTGGACAAGGACAATCCTTAATGAACTGGGGAATGGCAAGCATTACACCAGGGACCCTGTGTATCACCTATCACAGAGTGGGCCTGTTAGTTTCCATCCACAGGAATTTAAGCTTAACTGCTTATTCTAAAATAGAGAACATGTAAGTCACAGGCTTACAAACCTCCCAAAGACTGTAATTTTGTGGTCCCTGTGTGGCAGAACCAAGCCAAAAAGTTGTCCTGAAGAGGCTATTTCTAAAGGGCTCACAACTTACTGAGCCACTTGAGTCTGTTAGAAACCAGCAAAAGCACTCCTGGAACATTACCAGCCACATACCCACCTCTCCTATGACAGAAACAACTTGAGGTCATTTACTGTGTTACTCATTTTTTTAATAATCCAGCTCTAGATATTGTGCCTGGCACACACTTGGTGCAAAGTAAATGCATGGTAAATGCGATAAATGAGTAGATGAACCTATCAATCAGATTCCTGTCTTCTAGTTTGAGAAAGATGTGATCCCACCATACTTCAATCAATATATCCCAGTACTAACCACTTCTTTGTCTTTTCCAAGAAGTTTTGCACATACATGTACACACACAAACTTGTATCAAATTCTTACATACAGTTACACTTGGAAACTTTTTTTTTTTAATGTCAATAGAAATTCAACAAATTCTTATGAACTAGGTGTTGGAAGAGATGAAAAGCTCCGTCACTATCCTCAGAAAGCAATACAGGCTTTTCTCACCCCCAAAGCCCATGGGGTTAGTGTCTGCCACAGCCCACCTTGCTTACCTCCACCTCGCCTGCCCTCTGCAACGCAGCTGGGCTTTCAGTAGCTTTAGCTGTACCCCTACCCCAGCTTTGTCCTTGAGAAGCTTTATATACGTATTTTCTCATATACAACGCTGAAATGAGAAGGAGAAAGACAAAAATTGAATGATAAATAAAGGAAATGCTAAATCCTTTTAAGGCTCATACAGTGTGCTATAGTTTAGAAAAAGGAGAGGTTAAAAAAGAGTTTTGGATGCTAATCAGCAGTCATGCAGAAGGCAAACTCTGAGCTGGACTAGCAAGAGGCAGGCCTCTGACAACTACATTTTTCGGAGAATGATCATTCCTGAAGGAACCACGTGTGCAAAGGCAAAGAGCAAAAATGCAAAGGCAAAGAGCAAAAATCCAAAGGTGTGTTTAAGAAATATATGTAAATGAACAATAAAACTGAAAAGATAAAACTAGAACAATAGAGAGGGCAGACAGCAGAAGCAAGAACTACAATCCTGCAGCCTGTGGAACAAAAACCACACAGAAAGATAGACAAGATGAAAAGGCAGAGGGCTATGTACCAGATGAAGGAACAAGATGAAACCCCAAAAAAACAACTAAATGAAGAGGAGATAGGCAACATTCCAGAAAAAGGATTCAGAATGATAGTGAAAAACAGAATAAAGAAAAAAGAATGAAAAGAAATGAAGACAGCCTAAGAGACCTCTGGGACAACATTAAACACAACAACGTTCACATTATAGGGGTCCCAGAAGGAGAAGAGAGAAAGAAGGACCAGAGAAAATATTTGAAGAGATTATAGACGAAAACTTCCCTAAAATGGGAAAGGAAACAGCCACCCAAGTCCACGAAGCACATCAAGTCCCATACAGGATAAACCCAAGGAGAAACATGCCGAGCCACATAGTAACCAAATTGGCAAAAATTAAAAACAAAGAAAAATTATTGAAAGCAGCAAGGGAAAAAGGACAAATAACATACAAGGGAACTCCCATAAGGTTAACAGCTGATTTCTCAGCAGAAACTCTACATGCCAGAAGGGAGCGGCATGATATACTTTAAGTGATGAAAAGGAAGAACCTACAACCAAGATTACTCTACCTGGCAAGGATCTCATTCAAATTCGATGGAGAAATCAAAAGATTTACAGACAAGCAAAAGCTAAGAGAATTCAGCACCACCAAACCAGCTCTACAACAACGGCTAAAGGAACTTCTCTAAGTGGGAAACACAAGAGAAGAAAAGGACCTACAAAAACAAACACAAAACAATTAAGAAAATAGTCATAGGAACATACATATCGATAATCACCTTAAATGTGAATGGATCAAGTGCTCCAAACAAAAGGCACACGCTTGCTGAATGGATACAAAAACAAAACCCATGTATATACTGTCTACAAGAGAGCCACTTCAGACCTAGGGACACATACAGACTGAAAGTGAGGGGATGGAAAAAGATATTCCATGCAAATGGAAATCACAAGAAACCTGGAGTAGCAATACTCATATCAGATAAAATAGACTCTAAAATAAAGAATGTTACAAGAGGCAAGGAAGGACACTACATAATGATCAAGGGATCAATCCAAGAAGATATAACAATTATAAATATGTATGTACCCAACATAGAAGCACCTCAATACATAAGGCATTTGCTAACAGCTCTAAAAGAGGAAATCGACAGTAACACAATAATAGTGGGGGACTTTAACACCTCACTTACACCAATGTACAGATCATGCAAACAGAAAGTTAATAAGGAAACACAAGCTTTAAATGACACAACAGACCAGACAGATTTAATTGATATTTATAGGACATTCCATCCAAAAAACAGCAGAACAGCAGATTACGCTTTCTTCTCAAGTGTGCACAGAACATTCACCAGGATAGTTCACATCTTGAGTCACAAATCAGGCCTCAGTAAATTTAAGAAAATTGAAATCGTATCAAGCATCTTTTCTGACCACAATGCTATGAGATTAGAAATGAATTACACAGAAAAAAACATAAAGAACACAAACACATGGAGGCTAAACAATGTTACTAAATAACCAAGAGATCACTGAAGAAATCAAAGAGGAAATCAAAAAATACCTAGAGACAAATGACAATGCAAACACGACGATCCAAAATCTACTGAACCAGCAAGCAATAGAATACATGAACAGACCAATCACAAGTAATGAAATTGAAACTGTGATTAAAATCTTCCAACAGGGCTTCCCTGGTGGCACAGTGGTTGAGAGTCTGCCTGCTGATGCAGGGGACACGGGTTCGTGCCCTGGTCCAGGAAGATTCCACATGCCTCGGAGCAGCTGGGCCCATGAGCCATGGCCGCTGAGCCTGCGCGTCTGGAGCCTGTGCTCCGCAACGGGAGAGGCCACAACGGTGAGAGGTCCGTGAACCGCAAAAAAAAAAAAAAAATCTTCCAACAAACAAAAGTCCAGGACCGGATGGCTTCACAGGTGAATTCTATCAAACATTTACAAGAGAGCAAACATCCATCCTTCTCAAACTCTTCCAAAAAATTGCGGAGGAAGGAACACTCCCAAACTCATTGTATAAGGCCACCATCACCCTGATAACGCACCAGACAAAGATATTATAAAAAAAGAAAATTACAGACCAATATCACTGATGAATACAGATGCAAAAATCCTCAACAAAATACTAGCAAACAGAATCCAACAACGCATTAAAAGGATCATACACCATGATCGAGTGGGATTTATCCCAGGGATACAAGAATTCTTCAATATACGCAAATCAATCAATGTTGATACACCATATTAACAAACTGAAGAATAAAAACCATATGATCATCTCGATAGATGCAGAAAAAGCTTTTGACAAAATTCAAAACCCATTTATGATAAAAACTCTCCAGAAAGTGGGCACAGAGGGAACCTACCTCAACATCATTAAGGGCATATACGGCAAACTCACAGCAAACATCATTCTCAATGGTGAAAAACTGAAAGCATTTCCTCTAAGATCAGGACCAAGACAAGGATGTCCACTCTCACCACTATTATTCAACACAGTTCTGGAAGTCTAGCCACGGCAATCGGAGAGGAAAAAGAAATAAAAGGAATACAAATTGGAAAAGAAGATGTAAAACTGTCACTGTTGCAGATGACACGATACTATACATAGAGAATCCTAAAGATGCCACCAGAAAACTACTAGAGCTAATCAATGAATTTGGTAAAGTTGCAGGATACAAAATTAATGCACAGAAATCTCTTGCATTCCTATACACTAATGATGAAAAATCTGAAAGAGAAATTAAGGAAACACTCCCATTTACCACTGCAACAAAAAGAATAAAATACCTAGGAATAAACCTACCTAGGGAGACAAAAGACCTTTATGCAGAAAAGTATAAGACACTGATGAAAGAAATTAAAGATGATATCAACAGATGGAGAGATATACCATATTCTTGGATTGGAAGAATCAACATTGTGAAAATGACTATACTACCCAAAGCAATCTACAGATTCAATGCAATCCCTATCAAACTACCCATGACGTTTTTTACGGGCTAGCACAAAAATCTTAAAATTTGTATGGAGACACAAAAGACCCCGAATAGCCAAAGCAGTCTTGAGGGAAAAAAACGGAGCTGGAGGAATCAGACTCCCTGACTTCAGACTATACTACAAAGCTACAGTAATCAAGACAATATGATACTGGCACAAAAACAGAAACATAGATCAATGGAACAAGATAGAAAGCCCCAAGATAAACCCACGCACCTATGGTCAACTAATCTATGACAAAGGAGGCAAGGATATACAATGGAGAAAAGACAGTCTCTTCAATAAGTGGTGCTGGGAAAACTGGACAGCTACATGTAAAAGAATGAAATTAGAACACTCCCTAACACCATACACAAAAATAAACTCAAAATGGATTAAAGACCTAAATGTAAGACCGGACACTATAAAACTCTTAGAGGAAAACACGGGAAGAACACTCTTGGACATAAATCACAGCAAGATCTTTTTTGATCCACCTCCTAGAGTAATGGAAATAAAATGGAAAATAAATGGAAATAAAATGGAAAATAAATGGAAATAAAAACAAAAATAAACAAATGTGCAAAAGCTTTTGCACAGCAAAGGAAACCATAAACAAGACAAAAAGACAGCCCTCAGAATGGGAGAAAATATTTGCTAACGAATCAACGGACAAAGGATTAATCTCCAAAATATATAAACAGCTCATGCAGGTCAATATTAAAGAAACAAACAACCCAATTCAAAAATGGGCTGAAGACCTAAATAGACATTTCTCCAAAGAAGACATACAGATGGCCAAGAAGCACACGAAAAGCTGCTCAACATCACTAATTATTAGAGAAATGCAAATCGAAACTACAATGAGGTATACAAGAATGGCATACCATTCAGAATGGGCATCATCAGAAAATCTACAAACAACAAATGCTGGAGAGGGTGTGGAGAAAAGGGAACCCTCTTGCACTGTTGGTGGGAATGTAAATTGATACAGCCACTATGGAGAACAGTATGGAGGTCCCTTAAAACACTAAAAATGGAACTACCATATGATCCAGCAATCCCACTACTGGGCATATACCCAGAGAAAACCATAATTCAAGAAGACACATGCACCCCAATGTTCACTGCAACACTATTTACAATGGCCAGGTCATGGAAGCAACCTAAATGCCCATCGACAGACGAATGGATAAAGAAGATGTGGTACATATATGCAATGGAATATTACTCAGCAATAAAAGCGAACGAAACTGGGTCATTTGTTGAGACGTGGTTGGATCTAGAGACTGTCAGAGTGAAGTAAGTCAGAAAGAGGAAAACAAATATCATATATTAACGCATATATGTGGAACCTAGAAAATGGTAGAGATGAACCAGTTTGCAGGGCAGAAATTGAGACACAGACATAGAGAACAAACGTATGGACACCGAGGGGGGAAAGCCACGGGGGGTGGGGATGGTGGTGTGAGGAATTGGGCGATTGGGATTGACATGTGTACACTGATGTGTATAAAATTGATCACTAATAAGAACCTGCTGTATAAAAAAATAAAATGAAAAAAATGCTAACTGAATTAATAAAGATTATCAAAAAAAAAAACTGGAACAATACTGTAAGGACGTCAATGTGTGGAATCTGGGCTGAATCAAATATACGGTAGGGAACCTGTACATTATTTTGACTAAAATTATAACAAGTAAGTTTAGGAAAAGTAATCTGGCAAGATGGACGTGAGGGAGACAGAAAGTGAAATCAGATGGAAGACAACCAAGTAGGTATGAAACTATCATGGGAATGAAAACGGATGTGTAAGGACAAATTACAAAAGCAGACCTGCCTAAAGGTGGCATGTAATACAAAGGATTAACTGGACAAGCACAAGGGGAGAAAATCGACATGAAAATGACAATAAGAAATAAGTCCACTTAGTAAGAAATAAATTCAGTGAAATAATACAAATGGC